CCCTGTATTGCATTTTAAATTATGACATATTCATGCCTGTTTTGGTCATTCTCATGAATCATCTTGCTGGCTTCTTTTTTCGTTAGTGCTAAATTTAGTTTTTTTTTTTAGTTTTGCAAGCATGTGTTAAAAGGCCTTGATTTGAGGAGATCCTTCTTTTCAAGTTCTCCTCTTGCAGGATGCATTGATAAGGAGAGAGAGGGAGATTGGTAACCCTGAAGTGAAGGTCGAGAATTAAATTACCGCAATAAATTAAAATTAAATGAAGTTCTCAGAGTACCCTGAGGCAGTTACCGTGTAAATTGATTTTTAAAAAAAAATGTCTGTTGCTGAATTGCTGATTTGCTCCCCCCCTCATGGGCAGAAGAGGCACATCAGAGAGGACGAGGGGTGCTGGTGCATTGTCAGGCGGGGGTGTCGCGCTCGGCCACCATCGTCATCGCCTACCTGATGAAGCACACACGCATGACCATGATGGACGCCTACAAGTATGTTCGGGGCCGGCGGCCAGTAGTCTCACCCAACCTCAACTTTATGGGCCAACTGCTGGAGTTCGAGAGAGACCTCAACTCCGGGATCACCCCGCGAATCCTTACGCCCAAACTCAACGGCCTGGAGACCCAGGTGTGAGTGATGTTTTCGGGGGAAGTGGGGGAGGGTGGGGGGAGGGGTCAAGGGAAGGAAGGAGAGAGAGTACGACTCGGCGAAGGAGAAGCGGCGGAGGGAGAAACTGGTGGAGGAGAGACGTGGGCAGCATGAACAGTCGCGACAAAAACACTGTGAAAATGCACGTGCATTAACTCAGATGTTTGTGAACGAATGGGAGATAGAGAGAGAAACTGAAGAGAAGGTAATGACATCAAAACAGAACTCATTGAGTATGCAGAGGGACAACAGTCTTGGTGTATTTAATGTAATGAAAATAGACAGGGACATGGAAAAAGAGCTGTGTTCAGATACACAAGGTCTGTCTCTACCAAACCAGACCGCTGGTGGACAGATGTATAGATGTAGTAGAGGAGACATGAGTTCCCATTCGGATTACCAGCAAACCTAAACCTCAATTTGTATTTATAAGACGTGCCAAGTTTTTATAACAATTCAAATAGCTGCAACCCTCCTAGATATTGTGCTTCTGCTCCTGCCTGTAATTTGTAGTATAAGCAGTTGCATTGCAATACTGACATGCACAGTGTGCAGACAGATACCAGGCATTGTAGGTGCATATATTGCAGGTGCAAAAGCAGTATATTTAGGTAGGCTTCATCGGAGTTAAATACCACACCGTACTGTTTCACAGAGTGTTGTGCTGGACCAAACTATGCTACAGTGTCCTAAACTGCAGTACTTTTACTATGGTTAAATACATTTTCCCCCTTTTCCTGGATAAAGTGCAATAAATCTACACTTTGCGCAGGGGTAACCAGAGGTAAACCAGGTGTACCAGTACCGGCTATGACTGGGCAAGGTTGGATCAAACTGGACGACTGTGATACAGATTCACCAAACCAAATCGACGCCGATGGGACATAATCCGCTCGTTAACTTCAAAAATAATTAATATGTGGACCTCACCATGCTGGATTAACCCTGGGGAACCCAGCCCACCTTATCATTATAGGATGTCCATTGGCTAAAATGATCATACAGACCCAGTGAACTCAAAAACAGGTGTTTTGTAAAAATAACCCTTTCCCAGTCCATGTTATGATTGTGCCATATACGACCCGCTGGACTGTTCATGCTCTTCCAACTTGTTAATTTCACCTATGAAATAAGGACAGAAAAGAAGGAAAAACCAAATCTTTGCAACATTCTCATTTTCAAAATGCATTTATTGAGTTTTCCTTTTCATCATTCACCATGTGCTGGCAATGAAACACATGCTTCAAACATGCCAACCCATCAAGAAACAGGTCAAGTGAACAGACCTGCAAAAAGGTACACTACACACAGAAAGTTTACCTGTGGTGGGTTGTAAGGTCTGGTGCAACACCTGTATTCCCTCTGTTTTTGTCTGAGGCTGATGTTGAGCACATGGATCATGACCATCACAGTTGCCAGAAAAGTTTCAAAACATCCAAAACCTAGCTATACAACCTCAAACAACAACCTCAAAACACGTTGGGGGCCATATTTATTGTGGAAAAAAATCTGGTTAATTCAGTCATTAATCACTAAATCTCACTGTTACTGGGTCGTATATGGTACAATGGGCTGTAAAGCAAAAAAAAAAAAATCTTAACTTTGATGAGTGGGTTGAATGTAAGGCAGAAATAAAAGCAAGGGTCGTATATGACCCCATGGGTTCCCCAAGGTTATTTTTGAAACAAATCCCATTTCTATGTGTCTGGGTTTTTTTTGGACTGTATCTTTGAATGTTTACTGTGTTGAAAAGTACATACAGGAGCAAGTATGCAGTATTGTTTTATTTTTGTAAGCATTGTTGAGTTTTTTTTTTGTCTTTAATGTTATTTTATAACTTTCGTCAGCGAAAGGAAAAGGAAATCATTGCTGACAAGAGAAACAAAGCGAATAGATGTTCTATCTATTTGAGGACAAGAATTTTAAAAGGTTCCTAAGGCTTTTGCTTAGCGAAACACCAATATAATAAATAGAACGATCTAGGTTAATCTGGATACACAGATTAATATCAATATACGCATTTAATCGTATTTAGTATAGATACAGGCTGATATCAATAAAGGTATAATATGAACGTTAAGGGAATTGTTTGGCTGACTAGTCATAGTTTTAGAATAATGAACGAACAAGGTTTTCAATTATGACATATTCATGCCTGTATTGGTCATTTCTCATTTAAATGACACCCGATCTTTTATTACCACTCATGTATAATATTATCGTGATATTAGATAATCGATCTCTGCTATTTTCACCCCACTTTTATCTCTGTATAACTTTTTTAGCTATTTTTCCTCTGTGGTTTAAACGTTACTGTACCACTGCTAAAGCACTATGCATTCTTACGGTCTATAATGTTAGATTAACTGGTGATAACGTGTGAGCTTTACTCTTATATTCACTGTGATACCGGATATTTCCCTGTTTATAGTAGTTTACGGTTGCCGTTGTCGCAGTTGCTTCGTTCTGTTGCTCGGTGGCCGGGTGGCTGTCGCGGAAGAGGATCCACTCGCTTTCTGTGATCCTCACACTACGGCAATCAACTCAGTCTCGAAAGAGCACAAGAATCCTGTATATAGGCAGAGCGCTAGACAAGTGCTTAATATCCGAGGTTTGTCGTCGACCAAGCTCCGCTAACATATTCCGTTTTCGCGGCATTGCTGTTCATACATTTATAATTATGAGCGTGACCGCTTGGGTTGTATTTTGGTTGCACCAAGGTGTTCCAGTAACATATGTACATATATTATAAGTTTAGTTTATGCTTTGTTGTGCAAACAATCTATAAAACGCCAAGATGCCCCCTGAGGACCCGACGTGAGTGTGCATATCGGATATCGGAGTTCCTATAGCTGCTAAGAATGCGAATGCGCCATTTGATAAGCTGATCGAGCTTTCTCGTTGGTTCTGTTAGTTCAAAAGCTGAGAGCTGATGTGAAGCGTAAATGGATTGTAGGCCTAGTCTTTTACGAGACACTGAGGGTTTGCACAACAAATTTTCTCCACAAATTACCTGGCCAGTATTACAGGGATGTGCTCCGAAACATATATTAAATAATTCGTTTGTTCTTTTTTTTTGGTCTTTGTTAATTTTATTGTCACGCCCTTTAAAAGGGGAAACTGTTAAGTTTGGTAGATAAACAATTAAGGTTTGATGCAAAAAGTGAAGCATCGCCACCAGAACGCTCAAATGCCTTGGTTAACGTGTCTTCCAGATCGAGCACCAATTGAGGTGACAATGCTCCGTTTTTACTCTTGGCAAAAAAAAAATGTTTTTCAGCTTTTGTGAGTTTTTTTTCCTTAAATTTTACTTGCATGCAGAAAGGTGTGTGTGCGTGTGAAAGCGCATGTTTTGATTAATATTTACAAACTTATTTTGACTTTAGCATATTTATTTTGAATGTGTACATGTGTTTTGGAGTTTGGGCGCTTTAGAGTTGAATCCTTTTCCTTGACTGCTAAACAGGCTACTGAGACCTTGTGGAAGTATATACTCCATATGGATACAATCCTTGCCTGTCATCTTAGCGTCAGTCCCTCTTACATGCGCCAGACATGTACAGCATTTATTAATTTTCACTTTGTATATTTTCACACCGTTGTAATACAGCGTTCTGCGCGAAATGCTTTGAAATAACCCCCTTTAAAAAGTGCCCTCGATCGCACAGGCTACATATATATTCCAGAGGCATAGCAGCCTTCATAGAATATTTTTCTGAAACGATGTGGATCGTTATTTTTGTTAATCGAAGCAATATATCCACCCAATATCGCGTAACCTGCACTGACTTTCACTGTTACTGTAAATGGACCTTCCCACTCTGGCGAATCAATGTCCGTGGTCTTCTCTAAACACTGAGAAATTCTTCCATGTACTGATGTGGAGCGTAAAAACGCGGGGGGAAGTGAGCCAGCAACCACGTGTCGTTTTATAATTACCCCTTACTTTGATTAAGGTCCTCCCAGTTCCCTTTATACGAAACTTTAATCCCCCTAGATTTGAATTAACTACATCTGTGAACCTGTGCGATTTCCTCCATAAAAGCAACGTCGTTGAACGTATATTTCGTTATGTAAATATTTGGTTCTTTTTTCTGGCAGGCTGCATATTTTTCAATTTTTTGATATCGTTTGTGCTTATATTTATTAATGTATTCAGTACGCCTGTTTGGTTTTGATATCCGTTTTCTTGTGCCAAATGCGAAATGGAGTACAGGAACAGTGTGATGAAGGACGATTCTTTTTTTATGGATTGGAGAAACGCACTGCACTCCTGCTAAAATATGCTCTGCTTACCGGCTTACCGTCCTCACTAGCATTTTTTGTCATCATGAATTTTGTTAAGCTGACGTTCCGATAACATTGTGACACCGCTGCTGTACCAGTCTACCTTAAATAATTATGACAGGGCCTAAATTAAATATCCTGAGTGTTATGGTATGGGTTTGCATTTTGTTGCTCACAGATGTGAGCTGTTTAGTCTGACGAGGATACAGAAGATATATCACGTGCACCGTATAGTAAGGTACACGCAACATTACAGCAACGTTGCCAGAATGTTATGAAGCAGCCTGGATTTTATCTGCAACGCGTTTATAGGTCTTGCATAATTTTGTGCACTTGGATTCAGATTGGCATTCCTTCCCCTCGGTTATTGGTAACAGAATGTAGGCGGAACATGTCCTTCTGACTCCTTACGGCTGTATTAAGATGTTTGCCACTGATGCACCGTGTTTATTTATTTGTTTTTTTCAACAATGTCCAATATCAACGAGGCTACTGCTTGTGTATTTCAGCATCCTCCCTTGAGCGTCGCTGTGCTTGATGCGGTGGTCCTGCTGTGATACGGCAGATATGACGAAAACGATGATGACTGCATTACTGCTGAAGATTCATTGTAACGAGAATTAAACTTTTGAATAAGTATTTATACGATAATAGGGCTGTACCCATTGAACACAAATATGCAGGAGAAAAAAGGCAAATATTGTCTCATGTTTAAATGATCCTCTATAATGACTTTCTGTGAAATCTGCCTCACTGGGATAGTTTAATAAAGGACTTTTTTTAAAACAACAGATGTGTTTGTTTTCACTTACGCAAATTCAAAATATGACTGTTTTGATTATTATTGGGATTATTATGTTTATAGTAGATCTTAACCGCACACACATACATCACCGATCCCATACAGTGTAAGTTGGCTGTTGTCATCCCAGTACTAGCAAAATGACAATCTGTTTCCACTTCCTGTCATCCGTGAAACAATGACGCACTGATGATAGTCAGAGGACCCTAAGGGACCCACAACAGGGACACGCTAGCGCACTTTGGAGTTACACCACAGCTCAGAGAAAATGGAAGATATAAGATACAAGCCAGGTGTGGACATTCAATGAAACGGCTCTGCAGCTACAGCGAAAGTCAGCATGCTGGCGGGATGAAGAGGGGGCCGTACAGCACGGATCGTAGGCGGAGAGCTGCAGTCACATCCAAGACTTAATTAGCACTGAGCGCTACCATTCTCTGCGGCTCAGCGAGAAACTCTGCATGGAACGAAATTACGCCGTTTTAGAAAAGCACAACTCGGCGTCTTTGCTGCCGGGAGCCTTTTCGATTTCTGCGGCCAAGTAGAGGTCGTGGTTGTGAAAGCGAGATACAGCAGAACTAGTCAAAAGCATGTATAAGCACGAGTACAATCACTGGAGAATTGCTTGGCCGTTAGCCATACCACTTTCTGCGAGAAACGGAAAGGCATCTGTGCATTTATTTACCCATCCATCCATCCATCCATTCAACTACTTTCCCTTCGTAGGGCCAGGGGCGCCGTAAGGGGGAGGAAAGCTAGGACGATTCCAAGGGCCCCTGAGCGACAGGGGCCCTAAAAAATTAGGAAAATAACTGGATTGGTTTGGACTGGGGGGCCTAATATGATATGCTTTCATGGGGCCCAAAATCTCTAGCAATGCCCCTGCGTAGGGCTGCAGTCAGTCTTTACCCTATCTTAGAAAGCACAGGGCACAATCAAGGCAGGGAAATATTGGTTTCTACGTCATTGCCTGTATTTTAACTAAAGTGAGTGACAACAACTAATTTTTGCAGCTTTTACTCAACAACCAGCCCGGGCGTGCAGCCATTGCTGAGCGTTTCCATTCAAAATCAGTACATGCGCGGTTCAGATTCGACTGGCCTAATTTGCCCTTCCTTTGTGTGGCTGTGAGAGAGACTTAAACAGTTAAAGATCGCCAACCCGACGACGTGAATCTTGCTGCCTTTACCAAGTCCAACAACTAGCTAAAAATAGGCCTAATTGCGGAAAATTAAATTAAGCATCTTTTTTTTGTTTTTTTTTTTAAATTCTTTTAAAATATTAGACGACAGAGAGTTCCTTCGGATCACCATTCGGGATGAGCACCTGCTGCTGGGGGTGGCTCCGCCTAAATACACATCCTCTCTAGGGTGTGGCATAGTATCGCACGCCTCCTATCCAGCGACATAGAAGAACTTGGGCTGTCTGATCTGCGGCTATAAACTGACGTTAAACGCCGTATTAACGTATCGTTTAGTTTATTGAGCATAATCCTGCTGCGGGATCCCTGCACGTGCCGGTAAAAATGATTTCGTCATAAAGGGTTCCGGTATAAAGAACCGGGAGGAAAATTACAGGTAATAGAAGAAAAGTTATTGGCTCGCAAAACGACAGGTCTGCTGGATCTAAAGTCGCGTCTTGCTTTATTTGCCTGCTTTCTAATGGGTGCCAGATCTCCTGTTTTTAACGTTGGTGGGTGGGTTTTACGAATAATTTCTGAATTATTTAAGGTTCTCTTACAGATGTTTTGTTTTGTGTATTCCGCGTTAATTTCGGACAAAACGTTTTGCTCTACGCGAACATTTTGCCCTGCTCAATGGGAAATGCCGGCAAAATTAAGAAAACCAACAGGGTGGCAATTTTATTTATTAATTTTATTTATCCGTCAGCTTGATGAAAGGAGGCTTTTATGTTAAATGTCATTTCCCATGTTTTGATGCTTTTTGCGTATTTATTTTCTTGACTGATTTCAGAAATCACAATGAACGATATAGGCCCACGGATTTTAAAGACAAGCCTACAAATTATATTTGATGAAATTAATAGGGGTATTTGTAAGGCAGTGACAGCAGGTGTGTTGTTCGAGTAATTCGTGTGGCCCTGTTGTCTATCTAGACAAAGCATTATTTGCATACATGGTCAGAGGAGACAAAGAATAGGCTTAGCGTTGTTTACATAGGCTATTTGCGTTGTTTTCATTTCAGGAAATACCGGAGACATATTTTCCCTATTTGAATATCTATGACGCCACCAATGTAGGTTTAGGTTGTGTCTTCAACATTTAATAACTAGACTACTTAATAGTTGAGTTTTTGCCTTCATCCCGGGAAACTTACATAACTTCTAGTAAGTGTACACAGTTGGGTATTTACCGAAGTCATTATGTTGAAGTACCTTGAACAGGGGTTTTAACACCAGTAAGCCGCTAGGATTTGCTCTTACAAACATCCGGTCAAGGGTCCATTTCCGCACGCTTCACATCACGGTCCACCTGCGCATGCGTAGTTTTCTTCCTTCAATTACTCGTTTACGATTTGCAGAAGGGGTGTTTAACGTAGAGATATGCAAGTTAAAGTCGTGACCAAACTCCCATCTTCAACTGAAGACATACAATATTTATCACATACGCCAATATTAAACGGATATTATTATAAGACGTTATATTCGTTTTTATATTATTTTTTTATATATATTAAACTCCTCTGAGGCCGTAAAACAGGATTTGCTCAGCCCCGTACAGAAGCGCAGTGGCGCTTGTTTACAAGCAATGCTCCTCTCATTAAGACTCGGTGTACCTGTACTGGGTTGCGATTCGCGCACCGGGGGTCTCTTCGGACAAGTGGAGATAATGAGCCCCCAAGGGCGGCTTCAGCCCCCGGAGACCAGCGCAGGATAGTTACAGCAGCAGCTTGTCTGTCCCACCAGGCAGCAGTCCCACGAAAAAACATCTAGCTTCTTATAAGTAGTGACCCCAGTACGTCCTGGCATTGAACCAATTAAATACTTATAACAAGCTGATTGATTGATGGGTAGGTGACACATTTTTAAAACGTGTACATTAAAAATAGATTTTTTTTTTTTGTAAATTCGTGTCTTTTACTCATTAGGCCTACTCTATCTCAATGTGGTGTAGTATCAGGGCCCGACGGTACCAAAGCCAGAGTTAACTAGAATTCTACAATTCACAGCTAAAACCAAAACGTTAAGTTGGCATCTCCTGGAGAATCTGATGGAGGAAAAATCTTGGAAACATTGTGACTTGCTTCATTAGTTTTAATAAGTAAATAAATTTTCTATACTGAATATACAGACTATAAAATCTTATTTTTTTTGGCATTGTACCATAATTAGATAGACATTTAATTGTGATTAAGACCGCTACATCTTTATAAACGTGTTTGTGGAGGCAGTCGAGGTGTGTCCTTAGTTTAATCTTGTAAGTGCATGTATATTTTTGTAAACTTTAAGATGCTACTGTTGATGTTACCGAGGTCCTTTTTACACCTGATTTAAAAGAGCTTCTCGTGCGATCAGACTGCAAGCAGACCGCGCTAAATACAAGCGTGCATGACCAGCAGGAGGCGTTGTGATCCGATCACCTGCACCACTTGCTGAGGTGGTCTGGGACGCATTTCACCAAGTATCTTTTGTAGTGTAAATGCTAATGAGTCCTGATGTGTCCTCGACAAGGACTTGGGACAGTGACGAAATCTGGACACCCTGGAGATGACTGATACACACAGGTGTAAACGGCATGTGCATTAATTATAGCGTATACCTATAATAAAAACTGGTTAATACAACCCACCCTCCCCCCAAATAATTACAAAATGGGTGGAGACCTCAACCTCCCCAGTGCTCAACTCAAAGTGCATTTTAAACCCTAGTGTAAACAGAGACTTAGGAGGGATGTCGAGCAGGCCAAGACAGGCTTTTAAACTCAACAACAGCAAGTTTGAAAATAGCAACCGCAATTTTTTTTTTTTTTGCCTCTAGTCATTTTTATTTTATGTAGTTTTGGAGTTTGTTGTCTTTGTTTACTTTGTGTGTCATGCTTTTAGTTTGCTTTTAATTTCGACTAACGATTCCTTTGTCACCATTTCATTTTCACTGTTCATCAATGATAATAAGCTTGATACAGACATAACTGCCACCCCTCCTCCCCCCCCCCTTTGGTCCCCCCAGCCAATGGCTCGATGTCATAGCCGGATCCTGTGCTTGTGTCTCATGCCCTGCCTGATGGTGGCGCATCTGCTGGTCTATGTCGTGGTGTCCGTCTGCATCGCCATGTCCTACCACCAGCCCCAGCTTCCTGTCCGCTTCACGGCCACTGGGGTGTCTTCGATCTCCGCCGGGCTGGCGGCCCACCCCGCGAACCCATTCTGGAGTCTTCGGCTAGAGGAGGGAACCCTGTGGAACCAGCTGCAGCACCCCCTGGACCGGCAGCACAACCCCATCCTCAGGGGCAACAGCACTAATACGAGCCCAATGCCCGCTGCCAGGGCACAAGAGCAGGGGAGCCCAGTCCAGCAGGAGGTGCCAGAGTGCAGCCCAGACCACCGCTGGGTCTCCCTCATCAGGGACTTCAGTTCTCTCCCCGAGCAGATGAGGGATTTTGTCCTCTCCATGCACTGCACCCAGTATCCACTTCTTTTGGACCAGCTGGACCTCTGCAGCCACGAAGACGGCGACGGGGAGGAGCTTATGCTCTTGGTGGCTGTAAAATCCCAGACGGGCAACTTTGAGGCCAGACAGGCCATTCGGCAGACGTGGGGTGCGTCGGGGTGGGTGAGAGGGGAAGAGGGAGCCAGCAGGGGCTTAGTGCGCACTGTCTTCCTCTTGGGGAGACAGGACGGCTCGACGGGGGATCACCCAGAGCTGGGAGCCCTACTGGAGCTGGAGAACCATCGGCACAGGGACATCCTGCAGTGGGACTTCCGGGACACCTTCTTCAACCTGACGCTGAAGGACGTGCTGTTCTGGCGCT